GAGTTATTTGAAACGTCGACCGAATAAAGAAGTTCCATCGTAACAACCTGTACGGCAGAATCAAGCAATATTTTCAACATGCCCAGGTTTCAAGAAGAACGAACATGGAACCTATTCAATTGACAAAAACTTATAGGAAATGCATGGTCAGAAATGCACTCCGCATTATCAAGCGACAAAAACGAGAGGTACATTGAAGAAATTATAGCAAAACGTGGTATTTTTCCACAAAACTTAATTTCGAATTCACTTATCTTTTTATTTTCTAGAAAAAACACTCACCTTGACAGCTTGATTGTATGCTAAATACAGTAGAAATACGAGAAATGGATAGTACGGCCGTACACGCATGTCTTTTAGAAGCGGACTAGTCACCCCGATCGGCGTATTTAAGCTGTAGCATCTCGAGAGATATTAGTCGACGCTAAAAGACGATTAGCCAACGACAAGCAATCAGTTAATGGACACGGTGAAAATCTTCTACTTATCCGCGCTGATAGAATACTCTAGCAGCCTCCTGGCAACCGTCTAGATCCAGCTGCCCTCAAAGTTAAAGCGAACCCGGAAATCCCCTCAAACCTGGGATTGATAGCGATGGTTCTCTCAGAACTATGAAAAATACCTTTGTTTTGGATTTTTTCAGATTACGAAAGGTGCAGGCGAAAGAATCGCGTTTTCAACGAGGGTTATTGGACCATTTGAGCCCGGTCTTTCAAAAAGTGTCAACGTGCTGAACTTGGCCGTGCTCTCCTCCTACACAGCCGCTTATTATCATAGGAAATCGAGTTATCAAATCCTCACCTGTGCAATTCACATCTGCCACTATCATTTTCGCCTTCAACAGAAATCTCTGTTCACTACAGTTGTCTACTTTGAAGTCTTTAACGGAGAGGAGTCGTGCCGAGAACACGAAAAGGGAAAGGAGTCTAAGGTGTCTCGAGAGCACATACGCAGACGGCCCCTCTGAGGGAGGGGGAGCAGCCAAATTCGTGTACGTTGGACGAACAACATGCAAAGAGCCATTCCGTGAAAGCCTAGGGATTATCCAACAGGAAAGAGATAGTGTTGATAGATCTGAAAGAAAATGGGGGATTTTATTATGCAGGGCCTTGGATGCATAGGGTATTCTGGAACCAGAAGTCGAAGAATAGAAATTGAATAGGTGATAATTTGTATTTCGTTTAGCATCCACGGACCTTCGTCGCCACATTAAAACTGGTCAAGTAAAGGAAATTTTGCGAATCCTCTTCCAGCTTCTTATCTAAAAAATATAAGCAATGGGACAATAAACTGCAATAATGCACTCCCTATGCGCCATCGCCGACACTGACATAGCTGACGACGAACAAGGACTACGCCGGTTGCAATCTCAACGCAGCGTTCCGATCGGTTCTAGTGGATTTAGAGGGCCTGAGTGCCTGCTCAAAGGTACGCCATTGGTGCAAAAAGCAGAGAAATCGAACAATGATACGCGAAATGAAACCCTCTTTTTTGGCGGTGATCTTCGCTTACGGAATGAGCAGCAGCTAAGAAGACGGAAGTATGGACGAGTTTCCTCGCAACGCGCTCGAAAGCACCACGCCAATCCATGCGTTGCTCCAGTTGTGCCGCTGCGAGCAACACATCTCGTCCAAATTACCAACTAAATTAGTAGGCGGATCGTTTTTGGGGCAAAGTTCTTCCGATGTCCTTCGTCAGTAACCAGTGCACCTTTCTTCGTGAAAGAGTCGCACCTCGCTTCCTTGGCACAGTAAGTGCTTAAATTGCGCGTATACTTCCCCGATGCGCTCCCTCTTTATCGTAATTGCTTCCTTTAATGAGAAGCACAGCCAACAGCAGTACAGCAAAAGAGAAGTGCAGTAAAGGAGAACTTTATTCTGGTGTTTTTTCACAATAATTCTTTTCACAATAAGTATTAGAATTGCTAGCGAAACAAATAATCAATATTCGTAAGTACAGGAATCTCAAATCTTTCAACAATCTTTTTTTACACTTAATTTTGATCCTGCAAATTAGGTGAGTGGTCACAGACCGTTACCTTGAGTCTTCTAACTTTTTTCTCGGGACCAGAAATCGACGTGCTATCGGAATAAGGCCAGAAGCTCGTGGTTCTGTGAGGTTGCTACATATCTACTAATCTTAGTAAATAAAGTAAAAGAGATAGTAAATCAATGAAACCCAGTAGGTTCAAAGGAGATGTTGGTCTCCAACATAACATTGTGAGATTACATGTGGTAATAGCCCAGGAGGCTAGTGAATAGAGTGAAAAAAATCAAAAAGGGAGATCGTTCATGTTCACATTGTACCGTTTACCGCAGGCTGGCCTCCAATTTCTTGTCCTGTATTCATTCGCTCTCTGCCAAGCAACCAATATGTGCTGCATGTTCCTTTGCCCTGAAAACAAACAGCAAATTATCAAATCAGATTAAAGTAGATTGAAGGACTGAAAGTTGCGGAGGGTTTGATTCGTTCGGAAGCGAATTTCACGATGAAAAAGCATTTCAGAAATAACGGTAGAGGTGGTAAGTGGTGCACGGATGATGAAAATCGTGAGAAAGGGCCCAGAAACCAAGAAATGGGAGCCCTCCCTTGCCCACTGATTGATTACCGCACTGATGCAACTATCATGGGTGCTGCCCTCTTAGCCGATAACGTTCTCCATGATAAACGGCTAGAGAGTTAGACAGCGAGAGGGAAGCGTGTCGCGCAGAGTCAACCCTGCGTTGCGCAGTTCGCAACGGCACGTTGAGAGATCCTCAACGCACGCTGTATGGGCGGAGACGCAGACGGCTCGAGCATGCGAGTGTGAATGTTCGCGCGAGAGAACGTGTCTAATCGGGCGAAACTGCGCAACGTGGCCGTTGAGAACTGCGCAACGCAGGGTTGACTCTGGTTGGGAGCGTCAGAAGCTCGCGGGCGTGAGAGACACGCGATCGACCTGGGCATATTCGTGTGTTGCAAATTGCGTGTCGGTCCGCACCCATGTGGGTTCGCCTGTTTTCCCACCAGGTAAGTTTCGCCTTCTTCAACCTTCCTTATCGTGGGATGCGCTTCTTCAAGAGAGGTCTGGAAATAGTGGCTGTGGAAATACCGTAAACTCCATCGAGGTGCCTTTTAAAACGGGCCATCGGATTCAGACTTGAAAAACTCTAGAGTTGTCCGTTAGCACTCCAGTAGCCCGTCAATGCACAATCCACGACTAAACAATGTGTGGATCCGTTGTTGAGTCTTAATCTAGTGAAGTTTTTAGTGAATAATATAGTAATAAGTATTGCATAAAACAGAGAGCTCCCAAAATTTTATTTCAAAAGAATTCCAAAAGTTGACAAAATACAAAGGTTCCAAAAAAATCCAAAAGTCCCAAAAAGGCAAGAAACCGTTTGAAAAGAATTCCTTTTGAAATCCGCCGCGATTTCGGTGTTTAACACCTTCTTCAGGCCTGAAATACATTGATTATAGTTGGTATAATTGAATTTGGTGGTTTCTACATGCCCATATTGATACCCACATGTGTTTGCAAAGCCAAGTGTAAATCCTTCTATTTTATAAAGCGCTAACTTTGTGTGTCGGTTTGTATGTCTGTATGTGTGCGTGTGTATGTATGTATGTATGTATGTATGTATGTATGTATGTATGTATGTATGTATGTATGTATGTATGTATGTATGTATGTATGTATGTATGTATGTATGTATGTATGTATGTATGTATGTATGTATGTATGTATGTGTGTCCGTCCGCAAAATGAAGTGAGTGAGAAGGAAGCTCATGGGATAAACAAACCGCTAACAAATCGGGTAGCTTACAGGATTTGAGATATCAATGTTTTGTAGCAGGATAGTTGTGATAACACTCTTAGGGCTATATAAACACCTGCTTAGCACACTTCCGTTCATTCCACATGGTGCTGCAGTGGCAGCTGGAGGGCAGTGGAGAGAGGAAGGGAGGATGAGGAAGGGAAGCGAAAAATCTACCGTCATATCATGATTGTGTCCCTTCTACTGTATGAAACACCATTGTGTTGCATACGCGTCACTTCCAGGAGGTGTTGGTGTCACAGGAGGAAGGGACCATAGCGGAGGATAGAAAGCTTGCGCAGGAAAGGAAGGTCCCGGCGGTTGACGGGGGACTAATCTGGTAAATAATAAATGAATAGAAGGATAGAAAGAAATTATAGTAATAAATGAATAACGACAGGATAAAAATCTGTCGAAAGCCCCTAAAGTCATATGGTACAGTGATCGGATGGACGGGATGTTCGCAAAGGGGTTCGAGGGGTTCTTCTCTACTTTGTCCTTCGCGAGTTTCACTGTTCAGCTCATTGTAATATGGTAGAATAGGGTAAAAGGCTAGGCAATTATACAAACCCCTTGTAGGAGTGGGGCGCGCACTCCGCTTGCACGATCAACGCACAGCCCTTTTTGAAAGTTTTAACCATTTTTTGCTTCTTTTTCTACATCGATAGGCAAACACTGCAACTTTTTATTATCTTTTCATGTTCATAAGCCATAACCCGCAGTTATTAAACGCGGAGTGTGCTTTTTAGAGCTCATGGAAATTTGCAGCGTGACCATCGAATTATTCCTAGTACTAACCTTCACTTCGACTGTTCCTCTGAGCTCTGCTTTATACTCGGGATAGTATTTAGCCAACATCTCATATGCGTTTTCTGAACACTGAATTTTTTCCGGCTCGCCTGTTGACTCCATTCGAGAAGCCATATTCACCTGAAACCAAAGCAGATATTTCAATGGATGAGAAATTTGATGGTTAGGTAGAAAGTATCAAAGATGAGCATCAGCCAGCTACTCCAAAGTGAAGGCTGACGTCATAACCCCATGTCAATTATCATGAGAAACGTGGGGTTTCGCTAGCCATTTCCGATTTCCGACATGTTGGCCTTCGCAAGTGGTGCGTATTACTGAATTGCTACTCCGCAGCTCGTTATTTTGTTGCGGAATATATAAAAGCGGACGAAAATCGGAAACGGATGAACCCGAAGATGTGTTCCTATCTCTGCCTAAAGCGGTTTCTATGCCAACAGTAAAACTCAGAACATTTCAAACTAGTTTGGGCGCTCATGTAGTTGGGGGGGGGGGGCATTGAAAAGGGCGAGCTACTCACACGACTAGACTGACTAAACCACAGTAGTCCCACGTTCTGTAAATGATTCGGGATTCTGGAAAAGGATGTGGGCGAGTTTTGTTCTCCCCGGCGTTCCCCTTCTCTTTGGGCTCAGTCCTTGTGTCACCTTCCAGCGATTTTTAAGTGCTCTGTTTCGAATGCTCCCGCAACCAAGACAGCCCTTAGGCTGCTTTCATAGTTCGCATCGGTGCGGTCGGTGCCGACGGCGCCGACGGCGCCGACCGCACCGACAGTGTGAAGAGCGTCAATACGCACTCTGGCGCATGACGCGAACGTTGGGCGCAGATCGCGTGCTCCGATCGATAATCCTGGTTTTGGTGTATTTCTTGTGCTTTTCGATGTTTTTTTTCGCGCCGTGTTGCTTTAATTCGTGTGTTTCCTGTTCATACTTATTCTTTTATGGGCGCAATGTGGGGGGGGGGGGGGAAGTCGGTGCGCGGCTCAGCGATGTAGTGTAACTCGAACATTCCAGCTTTT